CAACAAAAGAAATGCGTCAAGCAATGTTTGATGCCGAAGTTGGCGATGATGTTTATGGTGATGATTTAACTGTAATTAAATTACAAGACATGGCAGCTCAATTATTTGGGAAAGAAGCTGCATTATTTGTTCCATCAGGAACAATGGGAAATCTTATTTGTGTAATGAATCATTGTGGACAATTCGGTTCAGAAATGATACTAGGTGATCTAAATCATATACATTTATTTGAACAAGGTGGATGTGCAACATTAGGACGAGTTCATTCGCGAGTAGCTCCAACACAACCAGATGGAACTATTTTACTTAAAGATATTGAAGAACGAATTCGTATGGTAACTGATGATCATTTTCCTCAAACAAAATTAGTCTGTTTAGAAAATACACATAATCGAATGGGAGGAAAAGTATTAACTTTAGAATATATACAAAGTGTTGGACAATTATGTAAACAATATGGTTTAAAATTACATATGGATGGTGCAAGATTAATGAATGCAGCTGTTGCATTAGATGTTGATCCAGCTCAATTAATTGAATGTTGTGATTCGGCTTCAATTTGTTTATCAAAAGGTTTAGCAGCACCTGTTGGATCAATTATTCTTGGCACAAAAGAATTTATTCTACAAGCAAAACGATTAAGAAAAGTATTAGGTGGAGGAATGAGACAAGCAGGTGTATTAGCTGCTGCTGGAATTATTTCATTAACACAAATGCCAAAATTATTAAAATTAGATCATCAAAATGCAAAATTACTTGCTGAAGGATTAGCAAAAATTCCTGGCTGTGAAATCAATCCTGAAAATGATGTACAAACAAATATTGTCTATTTTGATTTAAATCCTAGCAAAGTTAAAATAGATTTACAAACAATAGCTGGTATCTTCAAACAGGAACATGGAATATTAATGTCAGCATCAGGAAAATGGAAAGCTCGATTAGTTATACATTATATGATTACAAAAGAAAATATCGAATATTTTTTAGAACAATTTAAAAATATTTTAGAAAAAAATCAAATATAGAATACAAGAGAAAAAAATATAATGTTTTTCTTTTTATTTTATTATTTAATAAATGATTAATGCCATTCTGGAGACAATCTAAATAATACTATCTATCATTCATTAGTTTAGATTACATATGACTATCATTATCAAAGCAAGTTTTTATAATTGTACTTGATGTATTGATCATAGAAAAGATAAACATAAATTGAAACAAGACTATTGCTATTTCAAATAATTTTTTCTTACGAATATTTTTCATGATGATTGCAGGACATGTGATCGTCTATTAGGGATTATGCAGGTTGTCGCGCATACTTTTTAAAGTAATACAAAAGAAATGAATATGAAGCAAACAAAAGGATAGTAATTGCAGAAGTTCACAGAAGAAATCAGTGTTTTAATCCTGCTTTTCTTTTTCGGCTGTGCGAATCGAACTATCGGGTGATTGAAATGGAAACTCTGACTGGGCGCCGCTCACTTAGCCCACCCGCTAGATAAAACACTGAAAGATAGGGTCCGGCGGAATCGGGCTTTTTCATTCCGATCCCATCTCGTCAGGATAAAAATCGATATTTTGATCCCGCTCCGAACGGGATAGAGATCGGGACAGTCCGGTCGGACCCTACTGAATGAAATCATATTTTAACAATGTTTCGACTATAATTTTTTATAAACAGAATTGAAATAGGTACACTTCACTCTATAAAATCTACTTAGTTCGATTTGAAATCCTTGAGAACCATCTTTCGATAATAGTTTTATCTTAACTGAAAATATAAAATTTTTTTATTTGAGATTAGGAATAAGTAGATCATAACTAGTAAATTGTCTTCCTTCATCATGTTTCTCAGTACTTTCTAACCAAAATCGAATTCTCAAATCATTCGTTCCAATTTGTCGTTGATCGGAATAAATCTGTTGTTGACATAGTTTATCATAGGAATGATCATGAATTGGTAATTGTTGACTACCAATACCATCTTGATTAGAAGTTGGACCTAAATTCATTGGTACAATCGAATTATCTCCACATGGAATACAATGAAAATATTTTGTTTGTACAACAGTAACACTAGTTGATGTAATGTTTGAACATTGTTCAAAATAACACCAATTTCTATTTGGACGAAATTTTTTATGAAAAACTTTTCCACCATTTTCTGGTCGTCGATCAAAAAAATCAATTACTTCTTCTTCTGTATTATCAATTGGATTCCATTTTGTTTTGAAATGATGAGCAACACGAATAGCCATTTTCGATGGAGGCATATTAACAATAGCAGATGAAATAATTTGATACATTAATTTACTATCATGAATAGGTAATGGTCGTTGAGAACCTTTAGTTTGAAATCGACTAATACCACAACAATGTACATCACCACTAAAATACGTAATACGAACTTTTTTTTCTTCAGCTATTTGTTGGAAACGAAGAAGAACATGATTTCTTTCTTCAATATGAGAAGCATGAGTCCATTCATCAAGAAGATCATCATAAAGTTCAGGTAAACCAAATATTGAATTCGTTTTTTTAATACCAGGAAGATTTCGCCATTTATTTGGAGCATTTTTTAAACGTTCAAAAATTGTTTCAGCAATATGAGCACGAATAAATGAAAATGGAACAGGAAAAACAACAATTAAATGTTCAACATTTTCAAGTTCATTTTCTAATTTATCAAATATCATATTCCACGTATTTTTATGTTGAACTGTTTCTGTATTACGTTCAGTTCGTCCATCAGTACCAATAATTGCTAAATTTCTTCCACAACGAGCAAATAAATTATATCCTTCATGTCCAAATAAATAATGTTCTCGTGCTTTTTCAAATGTTGTATGATGTTGAAATAAAAGACGCATTTTTTGAGCTGCTTGAAATAATCCCATCATCATTGGACTATTATGAAGTAATGGAGGATAAGATCCAGCACCATCAAATATATCATGATCATCCCATAACATTAAACTTGGAATTGATTCTAATGCTTTTTTAACTTCAAGACGATGATTCCAATTTTCAGCATATGTATTAAAATGATATTGTTCAACTTGTTGTTTTAAATCATCACGAAAATCTGTTGTCCATTTTTCATTCCATTCCATATTAAGCCATGCACGAAGAAATGGAATATCTTCAAATATATAATCAATATAATTTTGATCACCACCCCATATTAATAGATGTAATGGTTTTTCTTCATGAATAGATAATAGATGATTCCAAACATTAAATGAAGTTAAATTTAATGCAATTTGTTTAGGTACATATGCATCAAATCCATTACAAGAAAAAAAACCTCCACGCCATTTTTGATTATAACGAGGAATAAAAAATAATCCAGTAGTTTTTTTATCACCCCAATCAATTATCCAAATAATTTTATCATCATCTTCACCGGAACGTAATTCAATAAATAGATTAACACGATAAATATTTAAATTATAAAGATTTTCATATAAAATTTCCCAATTATAATCAATTTTCATATCACAATTAAATTCAAGTTTAGGTTGATCATATGAAATATCTCGACAAATTAATAAACTACCTATCCATAACATTTTTTGTAAATCAGTTGTAATAAATTGTATATAAGGTCCTAATGCTGTTCCAGGTGGTCTAGGTGGATGATTAATTGTACGTGATTCAGTAGAAATTTCGACATATGGATCTATATTAGGAAGTTTTGATGCTGTTGCTTTTGGTTGTGGATAATCACCCATAAATTGAGGATTCTTATTAACTGGATTCGGTGCAGTAGCATAAAAATCACCATTTTTATCTTTCACTTTAATATCTGCCATATATAATTATTTAAAATTCAAACTTCAGATTATTTTTCTTTTCAAATCATAATAAAGAGAAAATTATTTTTTGTCAAGTTATATGATTGAAAATAAATGTTTGAGAATATAAAGAAAGGTACGTTGACAATGTGCGTGCAATTGTTTTTGTTGACATCTTCTTCTTCTTCTTTACATCTCGCTTACGCTTCTATCATTGAAAGAACGAGAAAAAAAAATGACTGTCAAACAAAACTATACGCGATGGTTGAATTAGTAGATTTCACGTAATAAATGTACTCCATTCTTCTTTTACTTCTATATAAAGTAAGTAGTCAGAGAACACGTAGAAAGATACTTCAATGATGAATATTTTTAATTCAGCGTTGAATATAATGACGCAGAGAAACATAATGCTCGTTTCTTCTTTTTACATGTTACTTAGCAACTATAGATGACGCTTTGAATAATAATTTTATTGATGTTATTCAGTAGTTTTTTATCAGAGAAAGAGAGTCGACATACTCATTTTCATTCGATTGAAATGAACATGTTTGTTTTGATATTACTTTTGCAATTAATATCCAGATGACCTCCAAAATAATTACTACTTACTCATATTTTAACGATTTTTCTTGTCTTCACTTGACGAAAATTAAGAGTAGATCAATTTTCTTTCTAATAAAATCTACGTAGAAAAATATTTTGAAGTTTTGATCAAAGTAAAAGAAATAATATTTGTCTTTCAAATCGTCGCAATAGGAGAAACAAATTCAATAGAAGATATTCATTTTTCAAACTAAAATTCAATAAATTTACTTCCAGTAAATGAATCTTACACAAAAAAGGATTTTTTTTGAAAGTGTCTGACTGAAACTATTAGAAAAATTTTGATGCATCTTCATCGTCTCTTTCCAACGGTAAAACCCACAGCTCTCCATCTTATTTCTATCGAAAGTTAGAAAAAAAATACACATCTGCTTTCTATTTTGAAACGGATAGTAGTGTCTCTGTTCATATCTGCTTACAATCATTTTTCTCTTTAAAATAAATACCTGCAGAAAATCTGAGATGACAATTAGAATCAGAATGATATGTTTGTCAATCATATATTATATTTTTAATATGATTATGAATTATAAAGAAAAAATATGAACAAAATATTTTATTCACAAAAAGGATGGAAATAATATAAAGGTATTAATATCCTCCATATGAATATCCATATCCACCACCATAACCTCCAACACCTGGTGCACCACCATATATTTCACCGTATGTCGGATTTGGATTTCCACCCATAAAGTTATCTAATCGTTCGCCAATATTGCCTAAATAAAAGAAAATATTTATAATTTGTTCTTAATGATAAAAGGAAAATAACTTGTAATACATACTGTTTAATCCACCAGGAATATTTTGTTGAATCCACATATCGGATCTCATTTCTGAACTACCACCGCCATATCCACCATATCCACCGTATCCGCCGTACATATTTGATATATTAATAAATGAGTAAAATAACGCGAGATATTTGTATTTTGTTTAATGAATAAAAATCTGTTATTCTACCGTCCTTTATATACAGTTTTTTTTATTCCCTTTAGTATCCAAATATAGATAAAAATAAAATAAATTTAGTCAACCATAACCAAAAATAATACTCAGTTAATATGTAGAAATCTCTCTCTCACATCGATTATGCATGGTTTTCTACCTACGTGTCGCTATTCTAGAAGCCTAATTTAAACGCATATTTTATTTCTTTTCTTTAGATATTACGTTACCTTGATGAATAATATTGCACTCATTTTTCTTCTTATGTTTTTGTCCACTAACTCATCATGCTATACGAACATGTATCACTCACTAAAAATAAATATATTTACGACGATTTATAATAAAATATTATTCATACAATTTTCGTCATAGGATAAATGGACATACTAATTAACACTACAGATATTTTATTTCTAAAAACTTACAATAAAAAAATTTCTTATAGTTTCATCAGTTTAGATTATTTCGTAAATTAATTCTCGTATTACATTATTTGCTGTATAGAAATATAGTCATGTCTCATAATTTAAGTTAATGAGTACAACAAAAATATTTATTATATAATAATAGAAGGAGGCAATAGAGTAAAAAAATGTACATAAATAATATATCTTTTGATTAGTTACTCAATGTTCATCGTGAATTGTAATAGTATTCTTAGAATATTAGTAATTTTTATCAAAGTCTAAAATTGAATGGTAATGGATGTTGTGGATTATTGAGAAAATGTCGCTCTCAATGAGTCTAATTTGATTTTTCTTTCTTTTATTAATTCAAAATAAACGATCCATCAATTGTTAAAATATAATTATCCTCTCTGTTTCAAGAGTATAGTACCCTATTGTGGATAGCCATACCTGAATAATTATCTAATGCTTCACCAAATAGGTCGAAAGTAAAATGAAAAGAGTTTTTATATTTATTAAAATAGAAGAAAAAATCCATCGTTAAATTTACTGTTTAATGTATTTAAAAATGAATGAATTAATAAGAAATATTATTATCTAATTTTATACACCGTTATTTTTATTAGGTGCAATTAACACAAAGAAAACAAATGAGCTTTTATTATGAAAATATTATAAATAAATAAGAACATGTGACTCATTATTCATAGAAAAAAAAGACGTCCTTCATAAACACGTGGATACATTAAATAAAGGTATTTTGTATAAGTAATGTTAGAGTGAGATAGCAATATAGATTTAGGCTTAAGAACATTAAATTATGTATTAGAGATTAGTAATAAAATAATTTTCTTTTAACTACAGATATTTATTAATTTTAACTATCAATCAGAATATACCATTTAACATATAATAGAAATGTCATAATTTACGATTAAATACTATATATATATTTCTTTCTTTATAAGAAATTTTTATTTCGACATTCGTATTTTAAGATAAAATATGTACGGCATACTGTTACATAAATATCGATCGTTGAAATCAAAAGAAAATAAATAGAACTAACGCTGTAAGTGAACATACAAAATATTGGTTCCTTAAACTCAGGGCTAAACGTGAGTTCGAATAATTTCAAGTCACTGATTCGGAGGAGTTCTACTTGCTGTTATTATGGAAAAAATCTAATTCATTTTTCGTCATATCCATCTTCTATAAAAAAAAGAACGAATATTTTTATTGTCACATCTTTAAAATGAAATTAGAATTTATTTTATCTAATAAAGAATAATAGTTTCTAATTGTAAATAAGAACAAGGTATTTATCCAACATTGCATTTTTTCAACTATAATACAAACGCTGTGTAAAATAAAAGAAATTTCACTGTTTTATGAGTTATATTGTACTATTATGTGTGTAGTTGCATTATTTTTTTCTGTATAAAGTCTACGAACAAAGCGAGATTATCACAATGAAAATTGTTTATTAGAAGTCTATATTAACATATAAAAAAAATAATAAATAAATGCTGACTCGAGTCGAACAACTCTGACTTAAACATTTGCATTCTTCGTTCTTTTCAAGACTGTTTTATCCTTACTGTATATTTAATTTTTACCAAAACACAATTCTAATACACATGTATATTTACCTTTTTTTTGATTATTCACGTGTTTTTTTATGAGTTACGATGTGATTAATTTAAATTTATATAACTAAGATGCTGTATTGAAAGACATTTAAATTGATTTTAAAAGAACTGTAATACATTAATATTTCATTGTTCTGCAAAAGTCTGTTTTATTTGTCTACATTCAAACATCATTTAAAATAATTATTAAAAATAGAAACTATGACAATAAAGTATAAAAATTGACTTTTCGTCTTTGATTTTCGTGTACAATCCTGATAATTCTTTATCTTGTTATGTAAAAGCATCATAAAAAGCGAGATAAGATAAAACATATGTACAATATTTTCATTTTTTATTATTTGATACATGCTAATTGTCAACTTGGTTAAATATATTTTAAATTTTTTCAAACATTAAAATATAGTAGAGGTAATTTTTAGCTTTTCTTTTTCTTTCATATATATTTGTGTAACATACATTTCAAAGTACCTATTTACTCTTTAATCCTTAGAAAAACAACACAGCAAATATTAAAAAAGAGACAGACAAAATAAACTATTGGTTGTTATCTCAATGAAAGAAAGAGAATAGAAAAAATATAACTGTCAAGGACGTCGACAACACTATATAAATGATGCGACGAACGCCAATATAACCAAAATAAAACGTATTCAAAGTAACACGTGTAACAAGCAAAAAATCAATATGTCTTATGTTGTAACAGGTGCAACTGGTCAAGTAGGTTCAACTGTCGTTGATTATCTTCTCAAACAATCCGTTCCTGTTCATGTTGTTATTCGATCTGCAGCCAAAGCAGAATCATTCAGATCACGAAATATTCAAGTGACGATTGCCGATTTAACTGATGTCGAAGGATTAACGAAAGCATTTGAAGGTGCAAAAGCTGTTTTTGCTATGAATCCACCTGCTTATGAGAAACTTGATATGCAAGCTGTAGCAACTAGTGTTAGTAATGCATTAGCTTCAGCTATCAAAGCAGCAAAAGTTGAACGTGTCGTTGTTTTAAGTTCAATTGGTTCAGAAAGAAGCTCAAAAACAGGATCTATATATACAACACATATATTAGAAGAAGCGTTAAAAGAAAGTGCTTCACAAGTAGTCATGATTCGAGCTGGTAGTTTTACAGAGAATTGGTTAAGTGCTGTTTCTGCTGTTAAAGATGGGCATTCACCAGTGCTTGGTTCAGTATTTCAAAAATTAGATCAAAAAATTTCACATGTTGCTACAAATGATATTGGTCGTGTTGCTAGTGAATATATGCTTAAAACTAAAGGTGATATTAATGGCTTAGTTATTGTTGAATTAGAAGGACCTGAATTATATAGTCCAAATGATATTGCAAAAGTGGTTAGTGATGGCTTAGGAAAATCAATTTTAGCATCTGCAATGTCAGAAGAAATGATGCGAGAACTTTTTAATAAATTTCAATGGCCAAAGAAAAATGCAGATGATTTTATTGAAATGGTGCAAGGATTTGATGATGGTACTATTTGTTGGACAACAAATGAAAAAGTTATTCGAGTCAAGGGTAAAGTTACCGCTGCTGATGTTCTCAAGAAGGTTTTAAACTAACCTAATTTTTAATCTGTTTCCTACTATAGGCAAATACATTTCAAATCACTTTTTTTCATTTATTATAGTGTCATCAAAAAAAATATTTTTCTAATCGAACTTTATTTTAAGAAATAAAATAAATTCATTGCATTAAACTTGCTTCTATGTTATTACGAAATAGTCTTAGAATACAATCTTACTGAAATAATTTTATTACTATAACTATAAATTGATTATGAAATCTACTTTCACATTTCTTAAAATATTTAGTAAAATCTATACATCGTAAATAAAATAAATAATGAATGCTTGGTCTGTCTGAGGGATATAATATATACAGATTATTATATTTTGATACAATTTGAATAATATCATCTGAAATGTAGATATAATAGATTTATTTATTGTTAACAGTTTTCAAATTTCTATAGTATATATGTGTTTGTTTAGAAATTACGTTCATCTATATTAATATTAATTGAAATAGTACCCATGTTGTGAAAATCACGACGTAAAAACGTGATTATGATCGAAAAAACGATTATTTGACGATGTAGTTTGAAAGAATTATCACATAACATATAGGTATTTCACTTTTAAAGTCAAAGATTTTTAAGTGGCAGGTATTCAAATAGACAATAGTAAAAGTCTACTGTGAAAGAATCCGATAGTTTAATAGAGTTTAAGAAATTATTGCAATATTAGGTAGGATATGATTGTTTTTTTCGTTTTATACTTGAATAGGAATGATTCAGATGTGAGACTAAGAGATATCAAATGCGAACAAAGACTAGTCAGATCTAAAGGAAGACGTAAAGTGACCCAATTTTTTAATAAGAAACAGATGGTCTACTGTCACAATAACGATATACATTGAAGATTAATCATTCTGAAGGTTTAAAATAGTATGTTGATTGCCCCTTGCAGTTGTCTCAATTGTGGATATTAGAAAGACTTGACGATAAAATCACGAAAATTAAAATATGGAAGTACGAAATTTTGTTTTTGTACTCTTCCTAATTGTTTTGTATTTTTTATGATCATTTGAATGATCAGGATGTTTATAAATTTTTCTGAGAGAATCTTAAAGAAACGAATGAATAATTCATATAATGATTATTGTTACTATCAGGGACTGATGAGAAATCTAGGGAGAAACAGTGGACTTCAAAAGATTTCACCAGACTTAATAAGACTTCAACAATATTTTCAGATTTCAATAGACTTCATAAGAATTCAGGAGACTTAAATACATAATCAAGACTTCATGAGACTTTATATGTCCAGTTGCTGTTGTTTTCTCCTTGGGTTCTTTCAGTCCAAGAACTATCAAGTATCACAAGACATCGGAAACATTTCTCACACACTTGATATTCCAAATACTGTCTTCATTGTTATAAAAGCTTCATTATTTACTTTAGTAAGATGATTCTTGTTCATATTACCTCTCACCCTTTTATTCTGAAAGAATTAAGAATGTGCATATATGATAAACTGAAAAAATCCTATAGACCCAAAAAATGAAATTCTAGTTAAATCAAAACGAACACATGAATGCAACGAAGAAAAGAAAATCTTTGAGCCATCTCCGTAGGATAGTAGAACATAGAGAAGACAAAAATACAACACAGTTTAATCACACGAAACATGATCTTTAAAACTTTCTGTGTCCTTCCTTCAGCATATTCATCACCATTTTAGTGACCACCTTTGGAGTGTGAACACTTTCCAAGGATGGTTTTGAATGCATTCGTATTTGGTGTTGCTTTCAGACAAGTTAGAGCTGAAGGATGATGACCAACTCCTGAGCATGAGTACGACACTCGACAATCACCATTGGCTAATTGTTCGAATCCGTGCACCTGCGTTGTTGCTTTAATATTCAAAGACGACGATAATCTTAATTGACTGGTAAAACAGGATTCAAAAGAATTCTTTTCCGCTGTCAGTGCTATCTTGTCTGCGTTGCAAATGATGAGTGAGCCCGTGACTGTTTTTGAATCTGTTGATGAGCATTTATGAGAGGTAACTGCTGCTATCAAACCACCTATTAAAGAGGAACCTACGTTCAATAAACCACCAACACCAACTTTCGTACCGGAAGAACGTGAACATTTTCCAAGGATGGTTCTGAACACATTAGTTATTGGTGATGCTTTCAAACAAGTTAGAGCTGAAGGGCGATGACCAACTCCTGAGCATTTGTATGATACTCGACAATCACCATTGTCTAACTGTTCGAATCCGTGCACCTCTATTATTGCTTTAACATTCAAAGACGATGATAATCGTAACTGGCTAGTAAAACACGATGTAATAGAATCCTTTTGTGCTGTCAGTGCTATCTTATCTGCGTTGCAAATGATCAATGAGCCAGTGATTGTTTTTGAGTCTGTAGATGAGCATTTATGAGAGGTAACTGCTGCTACCGAACTACCTGTTGAAGACGAATCTAGGTTCAGTGAATCGTCAACTGTTAGATCAACTTCATCTATGGCTTGGTCGTCATCATCGTCAAATTGACCACTAACTTCAGTTTGTGCATCTCCATCAGTATTGTCATCTACACGATCATCTACATCAACGGTTTCATCAACTTCGGAACTTGCACCAACTTTCTCATCGGCAGAACGTGAACACTGTCGAAGTGTGTTTTTGAACTCATCAGTATTCGGGGCTGCTTTCAAACAAGTTAGAGCTGAAGAATGATGGCCGACTCCTGAGCATGTGTATGATACTCGACAATGACCACTGGTTATCCGTTCGAATCCGTGTACCTGAACTATTGCTTTAACATTCAAAGACGATGATAATCGTAACTGGTTGGTAAAACACAATGCAATAGAATCCTTTTGTGCGATCAATAATGGCAAATCAACATCGATAATAATAAATGAACCTGTTATTGTTTTTGAATCCTTAGATGAACATGTATGAGAGGTAACTGCTGCTAACAAACCACGTGTTAAAGACGAACCTACGTTCAGTATACCACCAACTATTCCCTTGAGAAGGCCTCCACCTAGAAGACCAATGCCCAATCCACCACCAACACCAACTTTCGTACCGGAAGAATGTGAACATTTTCCAAGGGTGGTTTTGAACACACTTGTACTTGGTACTGCTTTTAAACAGGTTAGAGCTGAAGGATGATGACCAATTCCAGAGCATGTGTATGATACTCGACAATCACCATTGTCTAACTGTTCATATCCGTGCACCTGCACTGCTGCTTTAATATTCAAAGACGACGATAATCGTAATTGGCTGGTAAAACACGATGCAATAGAACTCTTGTGCGCTGCCAGTAATGCCAAAACTACGTTGGAAAGAATGAGTGAGCCCGTGATTGTTTTTGAATCTTTAGACGAACAGGTGTGTGAAGAAACAGACGCTGTTGCGATAAATGCTGAAAAAAAAATTAAACATGTTGTATTATGTGCATGTCTTTCTGCGGAATTAGGGTGATAAATAATGTACGAAAAGAAATTGATAGTTATAGTGAAAGGAGAAGTAGTTGTGGTTAAAAAGGTAATAACAAATATAAAGTGAAGATGTACACTTACTTCCAGAAGCATCATGAACAATGATGGTACTGATTACAGCAATAATCGCCACAAATGCGAAGCAATATGAAGACATTTTTTGTTGAACAACACAAAAATCAGATAAATCAAATAGAAAGTCAGTAATTGCTCTGATTTTTCTACGTTCTTATATACTTACATGAGATTTGAACGAGTCCATCATTATCGTTAAATTTGTCCTGAAATGAATAGTTTTTATAAAACAAACAGATGCATCCATTCATCAAATATCCCATTAATATTAGTAAACAAAACTATTTGCTATTTTTGGCTCTTATCACACCATCTGTGAAAATACATACGATTAACCCTTTTCTATAAATTAAGTACAACCCATTCAGACAAAGAGATAGTAACAGTTGGCATAATAATTATTACATGTTGTTAAATATTGTTTGATAACATTTACAGTTGTTTCAAGTAAAAACTCAACGATAACAAGTACAGCTATGAAAACACAAATATCTAAAAGATCGGTCAAGAAAAGAAATCGTTTTTCTATTGAGCATAGAATGTATTTACTGAAATTCGATGAAGAAATTGAATAGTACTAAATGATAAACTGACCCGTTTTTTAATAACCGACATCCTCTTCGCCACCCTATATTCTAAGAATAGATCTTGGTTGATATAAAATATTTTAGTATTTATTTGTCACGAAATCTTGTAAGACATCATGTTTATAAAACAGTTAAGTATGAACTGGATTCAAAAATCATGTTTTTTATTGAAAACTATTTATATCAAGAGATTTTTCTCCTAAATAATTGATTCATATATCCATGGTTACTATTTTGATACGACTAGAATCAGATGCACAAACCAACCTTTCATATTTTGAGAAAATAAAATAGAGATTTCTTTTCTTTATCTATTTGATAATCATTAACTGATTCGTTGGAATATGTTCTGATCTGATATTATTGACGATTATTGGAGTCGAAGATATTATCAGGTTGATTAGAGAACAAACTTAACTTAGCTCATTCGAACATTAATATTTGTTAATTTTTATATAAAATTGATAATCTAAAATTGATTATAAATTAACAAATTTAAAATATAATTTGTTCGTGTCGATCACTAATTGATATACGTATATTCGAATGTTTAGATATACATGTATACGGTATGTATGAGGTATCGAGAATCAAAAACTTCGGCATGACGAGCAGGCTCTATCGAGTAGCATTATAGAATGTGTCCTTTAATTTAAAAAAAAATTCTGATGCAATTCGATTCAATTTATATATTTAATCTTCTTAATTAATTTCAGCACATAAGATTTCATTGAGAGACTTTTCTTTCATCAAATATTATGATAAATAAATTTTCAATGAAGGAATATCTCAAAAATAAATACTTTATAAAGAATGTACCTAAAGGAAATCACCACGTTTGTCGAAAAATTTTATACACACAATGAGTAGATATATTTAAAGACATTTGTTTAACATGATGAATAAAAGCAATCTGTTGCGTTCTTTTTTATGGCTACAATGTACTCAATTCATTTAAAACCCCGTTGAATGACACAATAATGTCAATAATAAAATCCAAACGATGATAAACAAGTTTCTTTTATTTTATTTTTAGAAAATATTTAATCAATAAGAGCATCTGTTCCCATCTGAAAATAGTTATTCTTTGGAACAATAATAAAAATTTATTTCTATCATTTATGATGAGTATCAAGAAACGTGATGACAAAAATTTTGAAACATATTGTTAGCAATTCTTAAATCATAAAAGTTTTAAAAAAATATTTTTGTTGCATTCTATTGCATTTAAATATAATCCACTATATTTTTTCATACTGATGTATTTATCTTATTGGATAATCAATTGATATCGGATTATTAGAATATAGCATCCTGAGCCCTTATATCTTCATTATCTACCACCATTGGCGGCGAAATCTATTGATTCTACAGAGTTGCAAATAAGGGTGTGAGTGAGGGTGGACAAAAAAGAGACATCCACTCTCAAAGGCGAATAAATATCATAACTGAATTATGTATGGTGAGATAAAATAATTTATTTTATGAAATAATAATTATTTGAAAATAAATCATCATTTATTAGTTGATGAGAATCTTAATATCTGTTCATTCTTGTAATGGATGTTCTGTTATTGCTATTATTCTTCTGGTTCATTTTCGAAAATTTTGAAGAGACTATTTAATTTTAGTTTTTATACTTTTAGATAATACAAATAACATAATATATTCAACATCAGTACTATAAAACAAGAATCTGTTGTCACAACCATCAGATATTTTGTGCGACGAATATCGATCTAGAAGTAAATGGAAAGAATCATCCGTACATGCACCTAATAATGATAAACGAGCATTTTTGATCGAAAAATCGTACATTCCTGTCGTTTTGGATGCTTCTGAGAAACCATTTAATACTTCACATAATTGTGAACGACTTGAAAGCGTTCCAGTTTGTGCTAAATCAAAAAATATCAATGTATATATATTAATATCAAGTCAGATTGTTCAAAGCCAACTTTTTTCAAAGTCCAACTTCGATTCCAGAAGATTTTCTCTCTTTGACTGAGATACAACTATTATCCCGAAAAATGTTTTTATTTTAATTTCAATTCTAATTCTAAAAAATCTGATTTTTCATACTAACACTCAGCGATCTTTGCTATACTATGGATTTAGAATTAAGACTTGTATAATTGGATAGAGAAGAAAAGAAAATTCACAAACACAAAACAAAAACAATTTAAGAGCAATTACTTTTATTTCTTCTTTTCTCATTATTTATTCATATCAAATACCAATAAGTTCTGAACCAAAGTCAACATTTCGTGTATTCGAATCACTTATAAAATCAATTTCATCAGTTTTTTTTCGAATATGTCTAATAACAATTTGTATCAAGTAACGCACGTCGGAGGACTCGCTTAACTCTTTCTCGTAGAAATACATCCTTTTTACGTTTACTGGAAAAACAATTGAAAAATAGTGCTCTCCTTTGTTGTTCATTACTCTTAGCACATACTCGCATTCTACTCAGTGGTAAACGCAAATCAAAACATATTTGAGCTGTCGGCATCAGTGGCTTCTCGAACTAGCCTTTAACGAATAAATGAAGCGTTAGTAATTTTATACACAAGAAAGCTAACAGTTTATGGTCGCTACTCTCTTTACTACAAGCAGGGAAATATTTAGATACCTATAAAAATGCATTACCCGAAAACTCGGTTTCTATCAGTACACGTCACTCTTCTCAATCCACACCCTCCTACAGTAGTATGTACAAGTGAGGCGCACATGTGAATTAGCCGCATCGAAATACCTCAACAAATATCTTTCCATGAAAGTTAGGAATTTTTAACTTACTCCTGCTGATTGATGAAAATCTTGTATTCAATGGCGAATCACTTATATATTTATTATTCATTGATCTATATATAAAAAGAAAATTAAGAATGAGTACAAATTGAATAAACTTACATTCAAACGAATTTTAAACATGTTGTGTTGAAAAAAGCAATATACTGCTTCAACATTAAACTTTTTCCTTAAATAGTTTATCTTAGTAAAACCATGTATATCTCGATAAAAACTGAATATAATATTTTCCTAAAATATACTATAAATCAATCAACGTCAATAGAATAAAATATAATTTATTACCAGTTCATCTTTATCCTTGACAACAAAATCATAATCGATGAAGGTCCAGTGAGCTGTAAGTATTATTTTATCGTAAAAGGAATGCTATCTACCTTTGTACGTGAAAATTAGAAGTTTTAAGACTCTTATATCCAGTTTACTTATAAAAAATATAGATTCTACGTTTTTTTCTCATTTTAGTTGATATGTAACGAAATTTGATTGAATCAAAACTCAAAATAAGAAAATATGTCTGTATTACAACTTCAACTAATAAATGCAACTATTCACACTTGGATATTTGATTTATTTCATCTGAAGATTTCTTTTCACTGATTAACGAAGAAATAATTTAGTTGAAAAATCTTGTTTTTTAGTTGAATAATACGCACATTGTGTAGGACACACATTCTTAATGAGTGAAACAATATGAAAAACAGCAACATTACTTCGATTTAGTATCGACAGAATATATGCATGTATGGACATGACTCAGTAGTTTATTATGAATTAAAACACTGGATAGGAAAACAAAACGTCGTTCTACAGCGTCAACGTGACGTCTCTTCTTTTTTTTGTTTCGATTTTTTACCTTTCATTATTACGAGTTATACCTCGAAAAAAAGATAATTTTGCAATAAGAAAGAAAAATGAATTGTTCATCATTTTCTAATCTCTATTTTATTGTATAAAATCGAATATTATATTATCTACAGATAAATAAGAGAAAGTTAGATTATGTCTAGCTCTCTATCTATTTTAGATAAATGAAACAAATATTTCTGCTTTTGATTTATTTTAAAAATTAACAACTAATCAAATCAAACAGAAAAAAATCTTAAGAATGTGAATGTCCTTTCTTCATCTCACACCTACATCCACACCCATCCGATATATGCACAACACATTATCTTAATGATCCACAAAAAATTGAAGGTATGCTCATAATATTAGTTTTTATAGTAAAATACATAATAATAATTATTATAGCGCCAGACCACATTGTGAAAATTGACAAAAGTGTCTTTGGAAAAAGAAAGTATACTCGTGGTCGTTTACTTAAAATTAAATGGGTAGTCGGCGGTATTGATACTCAAACAAATAAAAAGTGTCTCTTAGTTGAAGTCATTAGCAGAGGAGTCGCAATTCTATCACCATCCATACAAGATTATATCTTACCGGGTACTGTTTGTCATTGATAATCTATCAAATAATCTGTATTTCTTTTTCCTAGGAACTACTATCCATTCTGATAACTGGCATGCTTTTCAAACATTATAAAATAATCCGAACTACAATCATTTAACAGTTAATCATTCATCAAATTTTATCAAGCCAAATGCTGATGTTCATACTCAGAACATCGAAAAAACAAGGTGGATCTAGTTGAACATTATTAAAATTATATCTAGAAGAACTTATATGGCGACAAGAGTTTGCTGCTGAGATTTTAAAAGGATTAATCTTCCAAATTATTCCACTTTATCCCCTAGATTTATTATAAATCGTTGAAAGAAATATGGGATATCGATATTGGTAAGTACATGGTTTTGTAACAGATTAACCGAGAAATGACAGGAAGCGAAGCATGACTTCGAATTTCTTTGATGCTGTTTAATTTATAATTTAATGCGGAATTTTATTAATATTCGTGTATAGATGACAGAATAAATCTCTTTAACGTGATTGTCTTATACATGAATTCTAATGTGGATAGTAACAAACGAGATAATTAGAAAAACATCTTTCATACGTAGATTATATTAATGTAAAGAAATTTGTTATAATTCACTAAGTCGAATACATACTAAAGTAATACAAACTCATCTAAAGAAACTAGAAAAATTACATTGAGGTTCTATTGTACAAAATTACGAAGAAAGATTATTATGTCGCGGTTAAGAGTTTTCTATAAGAAATAAAACAAACAAAATTCTTAGACTTTGAGACAGATCTTGAGTTAAATTTTATAAAATCATAGTCTCATTATCATGATTCAGTTCTCTGTTTAATTTGTCGTATAATGCGCACATCTAAGCATAAGAAAATAAGTAACCTATCAGATGAAAAACTAGCAGATGTAGAGTCACTAAAATCTAATAACAGCATTGTTATATATAAAGCAGATAAAAACAATAGTATTGTAATATTAGATAACGAAGAGTATATGAAAAAAGTTGAATATATATTGGAAGG